TATGGCTTCAGTGAACTTAGAAAACCATTGGCGAGATACTTGCTTCAATTCGTACAAGGATTTGTGAAGGCGACATACCAAATGCTCCCCCTGTTGCCGAAGACCAGGAGGAGGTGACATATAGATTTCTTCATGTAAATCGCCATGGAGGAATGCATTGTGGACGTCAAGTTGATGCAAAGACCAGTTGTAGGCAGCGGCAAGAGCAAGAACACACCGAACAGAAACCATTTTGGCAGTAGGAGAAAATGTGTCATGGTAGTCAAGACCTTCAGTTTGAGTGTATCCTTTGGCCATGAGACGAGCCTTATAACGCTCAATGGTGTCATCGGAACGATGCCTGATTTTATAGACCCATTTGCATCCAATGGGTTGCTTCCCAGGTGGAAGAGAAGTGAGAGACCAAGTCTGATTGGATTCCAAAGCTGCAAGTTCAGATTGCATGGCCTCTTGCCAGTGTGGATTAGAAACAGCCTCTGCAAAAGTGTTAGGTTCCACTGGCCGACTAATATTAGCAATGAAAGCAAAGTGTGATGGTGAGTAACGGTGATAAGAAAGAAAATTAGAAAGGGGATAACGAGTACCTTTGGTGCGACATGGCAAGGAGTCCGACGATTGGTCAAGCGTAGGTAAAGTAACCTGTGAGCAAACATAATCGTGGAGATGGGCTGGTTTAACCTTGTGGCGAAGAGAGTAGCGGATGGGGGCTGGTGGTACAGAAGGAGAGGAAGGTTGTGACGGATCCGGTACGGCAGTGGTGTGGGAGGGAAAAATGGGGGCAGCGGTGTCGAAAGAAGTTGTGAGATCGGGTGGGGTAGAAGGAGATGGAGGACGTGGTGAGGGTATGTCAGGAGATAGACATGGAGGAGATGACAAATCAGATCAAGGAAAAGGTAAAACAGGAGGTGGAGGTTCCGTGGGAGAGGAAGAAGGGAGAGTTTGGAAAGGAAAGTGACTCTCATGAAAAACTACATCGCGACTGGTAAAAAAAATTTTGGTGGTAAGATCAAATAATTTGTAGGCCTTTTGACCGAGAGGGTAACCAAGAAAAACACATCGTTTGGCTCTAGGATCAAATTTATGGGAAGGTTGGACAATGGTGGCATAGGCTAAACAACCAAAAATGCGGAGGTGGTTATAAGAAGGAGGTTTATGGTACAGCTTCTCATATGGGGATATCTTGGATAAAAGGGCAATAGGAAGACGATTGATCAAGTAAATGGCGGTGAGAACACACTCTCCCCAAAAAGAAATAGGGAGATGTGCCTGAAAACGTAAAGCCCTAGCCATCTCTATGATATGTCGGTGCTTGCGCTCTACAACACCATTTTGTTGTGGTGTGTAGACGCAAGTATGTTGATAGATGACCCCATGTTCGTGAAAGAAGCGACGCATGGAAGAAAATTCACCTCCATTATCAACGCGTATTTGTTGTACTTGAGTATTGAATTGTGTTTGGACAAAGGCAAAAAATGATTTAAGCAGGTTCTATGTTTCAGATTTAGTTTGCATGAGAAATAACCATGTGAACCTAGTAAAATCATCCACAATAGTTAGAAAATAACGAGCCCCTGAAAAAGATGCAATTTTATATGGCCCCCAAATGTCACAATGAATAAGAGAGAATGGTTTAGAAGAGGAAATAGAACTTAAATTAAAAGATAATCGAGTTTGCTTTGCCAGGGACAAACCTCGCAAGCATTATTTGAAAAAGGGAAATTTAAAACATTCTTAGCTAAAAATTGTAAACGAGAAGATGATGGATGGTCTAAACGGCTGTGCCAGAGGTGAGTTGAGGCATGAGCATGGTTGCAAGATGGTGGGAGAAGGGAAGGCTTGTCTGACGCCAAAGAAATCAAGTAGTAAAGACCTCCTTGCTGTTTACCTAGACCAATCGTCTTCCTCGTAGCCAAGTCCTGCAAAATGCACCAATTAGGAAAAAAAGAGATGGAACAATGAAGTCCTTGTGTAAGTTTGCTTACTGACATCAAATTAACTTTGAAGCTAGGCACATACAAGACATTGTTTAAAGAAATAGATGAGTTGAGAGAAGCATTCCCAACAGAAATAATAGAAGCCTTTTCACCGCTAGACAATACAACTGGTGTAATGGAAGGGTTGTTATTTGTGGACGTAAAAGAATGTGAGGTGGATGTAATATGATCTGTTGCGCCACTATCAATCAGCCAGCGGTGTAAAGGTAAAGGATAACATGACAAACCTGCAGAGTTTGCTTGTGGCTCTTTCTTATCATTCATCATGGTAAGAATCTGTTGATACTCACTGTCAGATAGATTGGGCATGGCAGACTTCAATTCTTGCATAGTGGGATTGTTCTGCACGTGATTGGCAGAGGAACTTGAGCCTTTCTTGTTTCGATTGGATTTGTGCAGTCGATGCCCGGGAGGATAACCATGAAGTTTATAACAGGTATCAATTGTGTGATGATCCCGATCGCAGTGAGTGCAATGAAGAGGCTTGCGATTAGAATTCGAAGGTCCTTGGTGTTGGCGAACATCCATTGCAGCAGGTTCCAAGGTAGTATGAGGAGTCCCCAGTTGTCGTTGCTTCTCCTCTTGGGAAATTAAGGAATAGATGTTGCATATGGATGGTAGGGGCTGCATAAGAAGAATCTGTCCACGAGCAGCGGCATATGAATCATTCAAACCCATGAGAAATTGCATCACCCTATTCCTCTCATCACGTTCAGCGTGATCTTTCATGGCACCACAAGTACAAGTCGGCACATCACTGTATGATGTCAACTCATCCCATAGCCCCTTAAGTCTTGTGTAATAAGCAGCAACCGACATTTGGTCTTGAGTAAGGGAAGCAATGTCACGTTGGATCTGAAAAATTCGAGGAACGTTGCTTTGTGAGAAACGCTCCTTCAAATCTTCCCATATATCGTGAGCAGTGTCAGAGTAGATAACGCTATCAGCTATGTCTTGATCAAGGGAATTCAAGATCCAAGATAGGATCATATCATTGCAACGTTGCCAAAGAGAGAACTCATCAGGATCGGTTGTCTTTGAAGGCTTCTTGACAGTGCCATCAACAAAACCAAGTTTGTTCTTGACACTCAAGGAGATTCGCATGGAACGACACCATGTCCCATAGTTGTCTCCATTCAACGGTTTGGATACAAGAACCATGCCAGGATGGTCAGAGTGATGAATGAAAAAAGGGTTGGAAACTTCAGACTTGTTTCCATCCTTGGAAGAAGTTTCAACTTCTTTGTCATTAGCCATGGCAGAAAGCTAACGTAAACAAAGAAGGAGGAAGCTGGGATTTTTGACGGTAAAGAGAAAAACAAGAGCTAGGTTTTTCCTTGCTCTGATACCATGTAAAATTGTAATCAAAGGAAGAATATTTGATTACTTGATCATTTTCTCTTTACAGTGTCAAGGGTATCTATACCCAAATTTCCTATACAATCAAGAGACTAATAAAGGAAAGCAAATCATGTACAATCAATTACATATAATCTGGCTAATCACTCAATCCCAAATATATTGGGATTTAGTTGACTTCTCAACATCTTCTCCCTAGGTTTCTTCTCTGCTATCTTCTTCACATGTTATTCTCTTCACTCTTCTCCAGGTATCCATCTCTCACTCTCTCTCTTTTTTATACTCTCTCCAATGTGCTTCTTTCTTCTTCTCTTTTCTTTATATATTTCATTTTTTATTAAATTTTTGTGAAAATTAGGTTATGAATTTTTCCCTTGAGAAGTAAACTATTTTTGAAAAAAAAAAAAAAACTAAATAAGATGCCGCTCGAAGCGTCAACTAAAATATATGATTTATCGCCACATGGTTATTTGACTCCAATAAAATTCCCATGAAACATCCATATGAATCAATAGTCTCCAGTACAACCTGCACAAAGATACAATTTTATCGAAGCAGGAAGAAAACCAAGGGGAAATCAAAGTGACCAGATAAGGTCAAAAGAATTACCTCCACCCTTCTCTGAACTATGGCTCGCCTCAATAGTCGAATTGCTTCAGCTGCATAAGGCTCCTTACCTCTGGGCCATGTGACACCATCAAGTGATGGCATCTAATTTGGTTTATTTTTATTTTTTTTATACTAAACTTGAAATCCCATTTTGGTCTAGATCATGTTTGGGTTAGGTGTTTGATACTTGGGTCAGTCAGTGATCATTTTGAAATATACATTATTTGGTACTGTTTTTATTAATGTATGTGAGTATGTTGGAATTTTTATGAGATACTATAATTATGATAATAGGTTATAAATTTTTGGCAGAAATAATTGAAAAACAAATATTGTCATATGAATCTTACCAAAACAAAATTTCGTGACATTTCAATTTCAATTTCCACTTAAATTATCAAAGAATTTTTTTTTAAAAAGATAGTCTAATCCGATGTTATCCGGAATAGCACCAAACATAATATAACCTTAGTCAGACTATTTATCCGAAACATCACCAAATGCCTTATAATATTATGGATAAATAGTACTCTCCATAACAAATTAATACTATCCGACAGAAATTAGTCAGTACAGTCCGACGTACCAAACGAGCCCTTTGTGTTTAATATTTTCGTAATATGATGTATTAGAGCAATTTCAGCGGTAAGATCTGGCCCGGGTAAAAGGGTGGCGTTAGCCCAGTTTGCAGCTTCCAGCAGGCTTTTATAGCTCGGGTAAATGGTGGGGACCACCAACTCGAGCAAGTCGAAAGGCAAAATGAGTCCAAGCTCGTGCTGGGGGGGCAGCTGACGTCAACAACAAATTTTTTGAAAAAAAATTCTAAAAAAATACCAAAATTTTCAGAATTTTTTTTAAAATAAATACCTAGCCATATTCTTCACTTCCCACACCAAAACTCTATATAAATTATTCTCCTCGTATTTTATATGAATAATGGTTGCCCTTGGATTGCCACGACAATTGATGGAAACACAACAAGCCTTTTGCAAAGGCTAACACTATTCACATGAATAGTAACAATCATTGCCTTACCCTTATCCTTTGCCATGATAAATGGATGAAAATGCTGTTATATAAGCTCTCAATTTAACGCAAGATTGAAATCAATTTTTTAACAACATAAAATATCATACTATCTAGTCTCGTGTTACTGTTGTGCATATAAAAAAACACGTGTACTTAGCTGCATACGTATATTTTTCACACATATACAAGCAATGTTGTGAGGAGAAGGGTTTGAATACGCGACTCCAATGGTAAGCTCAAACAAAAAACGTGCACTTTGACCATCCGCCAGCCAATGTTGATAGTTCACTGTTCAAACCCCAAAACTCTTTAATTACAGATCCAAATTGTCCCTACACCATTTTAGACGGACAAAAAATCACAGGAAACCCAAGATGAGCAAGACATGCTGCTCCCTTGTCTTCTTAATCTTCTCCATTATTTCCTACATTAACTCAGGCACTTCTTCATGCCCCATGGATCTCAACTATGTAGAAACCTTCCCATGGGACACTTCACTCTGCCTAGACCCCAATGGAAAACACTGCTGTCAAACCCTTCTCAGCCTCTTTGGTATTGGCCTTGCCCAGCACCTCAAAAAAACTTCAATGTTCCAATTACCCAATTCAAATATATCATCTTCTTGTCTCTCAAATTTCCAAACCAGCCTTGCTGCCTTGTCTCTGGATCCTTCTATAGTCCCTTTGTGCTTTGAGAACTCAACCCAGTTTGTGGCTAGCCCTTCTAGCTGTGCTGGGATTGTAACAATCCAGGATTGGACTAAGAAGGTGGGCCCAATGACCCCATTGGACACTTCTTGCAAGGGAGACTTGGAGGGGCTAACAAGATGCAGCTCTTGTCTTGAATCTGGCATGGAGGTGAATTCTCAGTTGACTAATCTTGACTCAAATGCCACCAAATGCTTTTACTTCACTGTGTTATATGCTGCAGGGATTGTTAATGAGTTGGGTCCAAGTGAACCCAAAACAGCTTCTTGCATTCTGGGCTTGCCTCTGTCTGGCTCAGCTGATAAGCAGTCAAATGATCAGCTGAGTAAGAAGACTTTGCTGAAATGGGTTTTTGGGGTCTTGGGGGCTCTGATTGGGATTTTGCTTGCTGTTGGGATTATAGTTCTGTGTAGGAAATGGGATAAGAAAGAGAAACAAATTGCTCTTCATGAAGAATATGTGACCAGTTTTAGAACTAGCTTTCTGCCCAATTCAGGAGCAAAATGGTTTGCTGTATCAGAGCTTGAAAGAGCCACCAATGGATTTTCCCAGAAAAACATGATTGGCCAAGGTGGATATGGGGTTGTGTACAAAGGGACACTTTCTGATGGCACTTTGGTTGCAGTGAAGCATGTTCTTGATTTGGACTCAAAAGGGGATGAAGAGTTTTCGAATGAGGTCGAGATCATAAGCAAAATCAGGCACAGAAATCTTCTTTCCCTCAGAGGCTGCTGTGTCACAAGTGATGATTTGAAAGGCAAAAGAAGGTTCTTGGTTTATGATCTCATGTCAAATGGTAATCTCAGTGACCAATTGTGCAGCAGGCAGGGATTAAACTGGCCTCAGCGCAAGAGTATAATTCTTGATGTTGCCAAAGGGCTTGCTTACTTGCACAATGGGCTCAAGCCTGCCATTTATCATAGAGACATAAAACCCACAAACATACTCTTGGATTCAGAACTGAAAGCAAAAGTTGCAGACTTTGGGTTGGCCAAGCAAAGTTCAGAGGGCCAATCTCACCTCACCACAAGGGTTGCAGGCACACATGGCTATTTGGCACCAGAATATGCTCTCTATGGACAACTAACAGAGAAGAGTGATGTTTACAGCTTTGGCATTGTGATTCTTGAAATCATGAGTGGGAGGAAAGTGCTGGACACATCGAATGATTCGGGTTCAAATCAGTCGTTCGTTTTGATCACAGATTGGGCATGGATGGTTCTGAAGTCAGGGAAGGTGGAGGAAATTTTTGATGAGGCAATAAGAGAGAATGGACCAAAGGGTGTTATGGAGAGGTTTGTGCTTGTTGGGATTCTTTGTGCTCATGTTATGGTGGCATTTAGGCCTACAATTTCTGAGGCCCTCAAGATGTTAGAGGGTGACATTGATATTCCCAAATTACCAGATAGACCAATGCCTCTTGGTAATGAGTCTCATAGATCTTCCTTTGGGTTTTCTAGATTGTTGGCAAGTGAAAGATCAAGACCTAGATTTAGTAGTTCAAGCATGAACACAACATAACATAGATTTGGAACTAATTTGGAAGGCCTAGTTTGGTGTAGTGCAAATAATTCTCAAATCAAACTCCAAAGGTGGTGGTTATGTGTGTGAATTTTCATATTTCTTTTATTTTCTTTCATCATTTTGAGATATTTATTTATTTATTTGCAATTCTTTTTGTGGCAACAAAATCCAAGTTGTTGTTCTTTTTTTATTTTTTATTTGTTATTTGTTTTTGGTCAGAATCAAAGTCTAATTCTGTAGGTTGGGTTTTAGTCTGGTCAAAGACTCATCAAAGCCCTTGACTAAAAAAGAGAGACTCAAAGTGGTATGTACTTTGCACACGGATTCTACGGAATAAGGTTGCATGCGTTTTGCTTGTAGATTTTGACTATTGTAAAGTAAAAAAGCACAAGAAGATTGCCACATTATTTATAAGTAAAATAGGAAACATTTATAGGAGGTTTTTTATTTTTATTTTTCAATGAGAATTGAATCCAAGACATTTTCCAATTAAGTGGAGAATAATGTTATAGACCGCAAGAGGCTTGTAGCTCAAGGTGTTAAAAGCATTTAATTCTGCATCTAAGGTCCTAAGTTTGATTTCCCTCTCCTTCAATATTGCTTATATTGAAAAAAAAAAAATTAATGGAAGACAAGGTACATGTACTCTCAAGTGTGCGTGAGGAAAGCGAGCTTGACAGAAAAAGTAGGGTTTAAGCCGCTTGATATGGAACCTAATGCGTGTCTCAACTTCTAATTGAGTGCTTGCTTCGTTGGAGGTTTCGCTCCCTCAAAGACATTCATAGAAAGTTAAAAAGTTGGTGTGGCAATACTGAGATCCAAAATTCAGGCAAATATATTTCCTTAAAGTACTCTTTTTAAAATTTGATTTCATTTTAATTGAACAATATTTTTCTTTATGCTATGAGGTTGAGAGTTTGAATTTGAAATCTCTTAAAACACGTACATGAATTATTTTATTTTATTTTTAATAATAGTACAAGTAATAGTCTAAATTAGACGGGAGGGTGATTTCTCATACATCCACATACAACTATGATGCTGTGGGAATTTGAACATGAGAACTCTTATATGCAAATGAAGACCCTTTTCCACTGAGCTAGATCCCGTTGACGAACTCTTTTATTTTTAAAAAGTCAAAGACAAAGCCAAAGGTGGATAAATTTTATATTTACTTTTTAATTTAATTTTCCACATTTTATGTTTGTTGGGCTGAAGGGCTTGAACTCCTTCACTTCATCTTGGGCCGTGTTTAATTCTTGCAAATTGCAAATGCATGTGTTTTTTTTATCAAACGACATAAATTCATACGTCGTTTTGCAATCCCGTACGTACGCTGCGTTTCATAGCTCGAGAACCCGAGAACAAACACACGCACCTCCCTCTGCAGAGGAGAAAGAGAGTAGACCCAGCTGCTAACTGAAACTGACAGTGCGTCGAGCTCTCCCGCCAATACGACGACGTCTACAGTCCTTAGAAGAAACGCATACAAAACTATCAAAGTGGCTTTGCTTCGCCTCTCTCTCTCTCTCTCTCTCTCTTGATTTTCTATTCTTTTGAATAATTTGCTGGAAGATTTTAGCTGAAATTATGTGAGTCTCATCTTCATCTCTGAGAAAACGTAAGAAATGCAAATTGAATTGCAGGAATTTCCGAAAATCTTAACCCCAAGTCCAAACCCAATACTCTATCATTTTTATTTTTGTAATTTTCTTCTCTATATAAATTAAATTCATTGGTCCTATAAAGCTTCATGTTTGTGTGAACAATGCAATTTGGTGACGTAGTTCAAGAGAATTCCGGTTATGTTATTTCAACATTAAATATGCTTGATGTCACTGATTTTAGTTCTCAATGCTTCAGGTGGCTTTGTTCTCAATTGGGTTCCCAAAAATATGATTTTCAAAATACAAAAATGTGGGGAAAGATTGTGTCTTGGATGGAGGATGCTGTCCAGGAAGTACAGTTCAAGTGAACCCATAAGGCAATTTTCTGACCCAACCAAAACAATATGCAAAATCATGATGTCTTGCCCAACACTTGCACTTGATACTGCCCTTGACCAAAGTGGGATCAGAATTTCACCTGAAATGGTAGAGGAAGTTCTCATGAGATTCCAGAATGCTGGTATGGTTGCATACCGATTCTTCGAATGGGCAGGGAAGCAGCGGAATTACACGCATAGCGTGAAGGCTTACCATGCCATGATTGAGTCTTTGGCCAAGATAAGGCAGTACCAGATCATGTGGGAGCTTGTGAACTTAATGAGGGCCAAGAAAATGCAGAACATGGAGACATTTAGCATAATTATGAGGAAGTATGCTAGGGCCCAGAAGGTTGAAGAAGCGCTTTATACATTTAACGTTATGGAAAAGTACGATTGTGCTCCGAATTTAGCAGCGTTCAATGGCCTGCTGAGTGCTTTGTGTAAGTCCAAGAATGTGCGGAAGGCTCAGGAGATTTTTGATAAAATGAAGGATCGGTTTGAGCCAGACTCGAAGACTTATAGTATATTGATTGATGGGTGGGGAAAGGATCCGAATTTGCCTAAGGCAAGGGAGGTCTTTAGAGAAATGACTGATGCTGGTTGTAATCCTGATATAGTGACTTATGGTATCATGGTTGATGTTCTTTGTAAGGCAGGAAGGGTGGATGAAGCGATTGAGATCGTTCGGGGCATGGATGATAGTGGTTGTACACCCACATCTTTTATTTACAGCGTTTTGGTGCATACATATGGGGTGGAGCACAGGATTGAAGATGCTGTTGACGCATTCTTGGAGATGGAAAGGAACGGAATCAAGGCTGATGTGGTGGTGTATAATGCCTTGATTGGTGCCTTTTGTAAGGCTAACAAGTTCAAGAACGTGTATAGGGTCTTAAATGATATGGATTCCAAAGGTGTTAAACCCAATTCAAGGACCTGCAATATCATTCTGAATAGCTTGATTGATCGTGGAGAGACTGACGATGCATTTAGTGTCTTTCGTAAAATGATCAAACTATGTGAGCCCGATGCAGATACGTATACGATGATGATAAAGATGTTTTGTGAGAAAGATGAGCTAGAGATGGCTCTCAAAGTCTGGAAGTACATGAAGCAGAGGCGGTTTGTGCCGAGCATGCATACATATTCCGTCCTTATAAATGGACTGTGTGAGCAGGGCAATACTTCAAAGGCTTGTGTCTTTTTGGAAGAGATGATAGAGAAGGGGATTCGGCCAGCAGGTGTGACATTTGGGAGATTAAGACAGTTGCTGATAAAAGAAGGAAGAGAAGATGTACTCAAATTTCTAAATGAAAAAATCAATCTCCTGGTCAAGGAGCCTTTATTTGATTGAGGTTTCAAGACTGGAAACTGAGAAAACTTGTAGTGTTTGATATTCTCAATCAACACTGACGAGTTCTGGAGTTGTATTTGGCATTGGAGAACCAAGTTGTCTCTAATAGCCTATTTGTGACTGCCTTGCAAGTTTACAGAAAGAAATCAAGAGGAACAGCAAGTGGTTCCGTCACCCGCAGCATCAAAAGGAACAAGTAGTGTTCCAACTGTATCTGTTACGCCACAACTGAAGCAAAAGCAAAGGGTATAACGCACAGTTCAGCTTATATATAAGTAACTAACAGCTTAACAAACTAACACGTGAATAGCACGTGGGTATTCTATCATTCCCCCTCAAATCCAGCTGGGTTCCCAAGCCGTAAATTACCACAATGCTTTGTGAAGATTGGACTGTGTAACCCTTTCGTAAATATGTCTGCAACCTGTTCATCTGTTGGAATATACTGCATGGAGAGATCTCTTCTTTGTACTCTTTCTCTAACAAAGTGAAAGTCTATATCAAGATGTTTGATTCGTGAGTGATACACAGGATTAGAACTCAATGCTAGAGCAGAAAGGTTGTCACAATGTATAGTAGGAGGCTGAGGTAGAAACACTTTCAAATCAAGCAAAACTTGTCTGATCCAGGCCAAATCTGCTGCTGTATGAGCCAATGCTCTGTATTCTGCTTCGGTTGAACTCCTGGAGACTGAGTTCTGTTTCTTAGATTGCCAAGAGATAGGATTATGGCCTAAGAAAACCACAAAACCAGTGGTAGATCGTCTAGTACTTATATCTGCTGCCCAGTCTGCATCACTGTAAGCGTTAAGTTCCCAAGCACCACTAGTAAAGGTAAGTCCATGATCCAAGGTACCTTGAAGATAGCGCAAAATCCTCTTAACTAACTGAAAATGTAACTCTGAAGGAGCAGTCATGAACTGACATACTGTGTTAACAGCATAAGAGATTTCAGGTCTGGTAAATGTTAAATACTGTAATGCACCAACAATGCTTCTGTAGATTGTAGGATCAGTCAAAGCATCACCTTCAGTCTTTAACAATTGACCATGTGGTTTACAAGGGGTAGGACAAGGTCGGCATGAACTCAAACCAGCCTTAGCAAGCAAATCTTTGGCATATTTAGCCTGGTTAACAAAAATATCTCCAGCTGTATTATATGAAATCTGTAATCCTAAGAAATATTTCAACTTCCCCATATCTTTCATATCAAAAACTGAGCTTAATTCATCAACAACTTCTTGCACCAAAGCCACCTTTGAACCAGTCAATATTATATCATCCACATATAAGAGAAGGATCACAATATCTGAACCTAGATGCTTCACAAATAAGCTAGGGTCAGAGTGAGATGATTCAAAACCAATGGCTGGAAGATAACCTGTGAATTTGGCATTCCAAGCCCTTGGAGCTTGCTTAAGACCATAAAGAGACTTCCGTAACTTGCAAACATAACTGAGATGGTTTGGATCCTCAAAACCTTGTGGTTGACGCATATAGACTTCTTCCTCAAGATCACCGTGTAAAAATGCGTTCTTAACATCAAGTTGACGAAGTAACCATCGATTCATCGCTGCGATACTTAATATCAACCTTACTGTGGTGTGTCTGACCACAGGGCTAAAAGTTTCACTGAAATCCAGTCCAGGAGCTTGGCTGAAGCCTTGGGCAACTAATCTGGCCTTATATCTAGCCAAAGTACCATCTGAGTTTTTCTTAATTCGATATACCCATCGACAACCAACAATATTTTTATGAACTGGCTTAGGAATTAACTCCCAAGTACCCTGAGCATGTAATGCCTCAATTTCGTCCTTCATAGCTTGTATCCAATGAACAGATTGGGAAGCAACCTTATAAGTGGCTGGTTCAGTAGCATCATGTATAACAGGAAGAGTGGTATAATAACACTGATAATCTTCAAACTGTTTAGACTTAACGATACCTGCCTTTGATCTAGTCTGCATAGCATGAGTGTTAACAAGAGGAGACATAGAACTAGAGACAGAAGGGGAGGCAGGCAAGAGAACTTGTAGTTGCTGATCATTAATTGCAGAGAAGACTGAATCACTAGAAGACAAGGCAGGATTCTCAGTAGATTCTAAAGAGGAAATAGAATCATTCTGTGAACTATGATTTTGTGAAGAAACATGTTGAGGAAGTGAAACACAAATTGGTACAGGCGGAGTCTGAGAAGAGCATGAAATTGGAACTAAATCTGCTGAGATGGAATGAGACTTAAAAGGAAAAACAGTTTCATCATGAATGACATGTCTGGAAACAACAAACCTTGAGGTGGATCTATTGTAACAAATGACCCCTTTATAACCTGGAGAATATCCCATAAAAACACATTGAGCTGTTCTTGGCTGAAGCTTATGTTCATTATAAGGTCTGATATATGGGTAAACTGCAGTACCAAAAATCCTAAGAGATTTAATATCAGGAACCTTGCCATACAAGCTTTGAAAAGGAGACTGATATCTTAAAACTGAACTAGGCATAAGATTGATGAGATAAGTAGCATGAGCAACTGAATGAAACCAGAACTGATCAGGAAGAGCAGAAGCAACTAGTAAAGTAAGAGCAGTTTCGATAATATGGCGATTCTTCCTCTCTGCCAAACCATTTTGCTGAGGGGTGTATGGACAAGAAACCTGATGAATAATCCCTTTTGAATCCAAAAAAGAAGAAAATTGCCTACTAATGAACTCACCACCCCCATCACTTTGAAAATACTGAATAGTAGCCTTAAACTGATTAGTGACAAGAGCATAGAACTTGAGAAATTCTTCAAACACTCCAGATTTATTAAACAGTGGATAAAGCCACAAGTAACCAGTACACTCATCAATGAAACTAACATAGTATCGAAAACCATCTATGGATTTATGTCGGGAAGGACCCCGTACATCACTGTGTATCCTCTGAAAGTGAACATTAGACTTAATATGATCCTTAGGAAAAGAAAGCCTGTGCATTTTACCATGTAAACAAGCAGTACATAGTGCTTGAGAAGTATCAACAGAAACAGATAAAGCAGAATCTTGAAGCATTCTTTGCACAACGGTATTTGTTGGATGCCCTAACCTTTGATGCCAGATAGAGACGTTGACATGTTGTCCAAGATATGCAGCTGGAGTGGAAGAAATAGAAGAAACACCTCGAGATCTTTGAGAAGCAGAAAGAGGAATGGGATATAAACCTTGATTACTCTTGCCTTGAAGAAGAATTGCCTTGGTTATCTTGTCCTATATATAAAAGCCAGAGACATCAAATGTGATAAAACAATTATTGTCTTTACACAATTGATGGACGGATAATAGATTTGCTTTGAGCTTCGGAACATGCAAAACAGACTGAAGATGCAGTGAATTAGATTGGGCACAAGAGATAGTAGCAGTGCCAAGATTCTGAATAGTCAAACCTGCCCCATTGCCAACAGTAACATTCTCATCAACATTACAAGGAGTCACATGATCCAATTGAGAGGAATTGCCAACCATATGATGAGAAGCACCAATATCTGCAATCCAGACGTGCTCAGGAGAGAAAGAAGTCTGAGCAGTCATAGCATGCAGAGATGAAGGAGGTGCTTGGCCCTGAAATGAGTAGTTTGACCTGTGGAAACAATCAAGTGCGCCATGCCCACGTTTGCCACATATTTGGCATTCAACAACGCTGGAAGTAGAAGAGGAGGAATTGGCATGACGATAATAGCAATTAGCAGCTGTATGTCCACGCTTGCTGCAAATTTGACACTCAGGCACCACATGAGATCGATAGGAATGAGAACCACCCCGAAACTGAGAAGAGACATGGCGACCACCATTAAACCTCCCACGACCAGAGGTTTGTGCAGAAAAACCTCGAGAACCAGAGGCACTAGAAAAAGAACTCTGCTGACCACCAAAAGACTGAACATGTGGTAAAGGCTGAGAAGGTGTAAGAGCATTTTACCATGTGACAAGACTGAAAATTTGGATTCGAAGAAATTTGAGAAATCTGAGAAATCTGAGAAAGGTGAGAAATTAGGAATTGCAGAGAGAGAAGAACAAGAGAGATGAAGGAAGCAGAGAGAGAGAAGCGGAATAGCAGATCTGGATCACCACCATGGGCTCTGATACCATGATAACAGAAGAGGTATTTGGCAAAAACAAAGGAAGAAGAAGACTGAAAACCAGAGAGAATATATTGAGATTTTTCTGTTTGGTTATTCACTGAATGAATATTACAAAGCACAGTTTAGCTTATATACAATTGTAAAGAAGTAACTAACAGCTTAACAAACTAACACGTGAATAGCACGTGGGTATTCTAACTTGAGCTGATGTGTTCATCTATCAATAACAATTACCTGGCCTTGTACAAAAAGTAAGCACAAAGATATCTTCAAACTCTATCTGGGGCAAATTTGAAGCATTTCAGAGGAAGTGGGATATTTTCTGAGGCATAAGCATTACGCGTGAATCCCAATGGTGTACGTGTTCTGACAATCTGCTACGGTCTGTCAGATCATCCGTGTACGGATTGAAGAACGTTAATGAACCTTTTTCAACATGCTAGTGGTTGTATTATATTTTAGGTTGTGTTAGGTTTTCAGATGGTTGTCTCATCTCTATCAAGACCGATCTTTGTGAAACGGGTTTAAACTAGGAAGTTAATCTTTATGCCACGATGTTGATCAGGAAGAAGTCACCTAAGCAATTGCTAATTAGAGTTAAACCATTTTGGTGGTAAACTTTTGCAGCACCTAAAGGACCTATGTTGAATCCACGATCAACTGTAAATAAGAAAAAAAACCTGCAGTAAAGACACTCATATGCATCCCCTGTCGAAGCTTATATCTCAAGACTTAAATAAGCGGGTAAAACTAGCAACACATCAAATAACATCTTTCGGAGTCTGTATAATTGACAAAGAACTGATACACATAAAAATGATACTCTTTTTTTTGTTTTAGTTCTATCTCTAAATTATAATTAGAAGGAAAGGAAACAACAAAATTTCAGAACAGCAGATCATCAAATCCTACACTGTAGACTCAGTGCCTTTTCGATTTAGATTCACTTTTGGCAAGCATTATCCCTGAAAGCTTGTTGACCTCATACAGTAATCCGGCTGAAAACAAGAAACTGCATACAAAAATGAGATCATTAACAATGTTGTCAGCATATACATCTCCAAGAGTCTCAAAGAGTTCATCAGTCAATCATATGAACGGAGGCATATCTTTCAAAAATTCCAAATTTAAATCTCTTATTATCACAAAAAATGGAGACAGAGCAGAAATAATAATCCCCCCTCTTCTTCCTAATTTCTCTTTTTGAAACCACACTCAAACTCAAGTATACAACATATATTTTTTTTTCAGTTTAATTCAATATAGTTTATTGCATGCACTTGACCATAAACCTTTCTGTTCAATTTGTACACCAAAAACTTAATACCAGGTACTACTTGAGCATAATATATTATTCAAAAGCTTTTGAATGCAAATACCTGTGTTGAAGTTTGATTTTAGAATGTCAGATACTTTTTTAATCAATTACTGATGATTGTGACTTTTTTTTTTCTAGGGCACTTTTTTCTCCAATGAAAAACATAATAAAATTATGCTTTGCCTTGCGTAGGCCCACTGAAAATGTCTGGCTCCCTATCTATAAGAGGACTGCACCCAAACATGTTCTCAAGAACATGCTTATGTAAGAATATTTAAAATGTATAGTTGATCATGAAACTAGCTTACCATGTTGTGATACAAACTCGATGGACAGTGCCAGCAGCAATAAGAGCAACTGCTTCTGCTATAATAACTGCAAATGTAAAATAGCTAATTTTGGTCACCACAAAAAAAATGGTTTTTAGACACCTTTAATAGGAAGCATCTTGAATCTTGCAATAAAACTTTTATCCAGCTTGACGTTTCATCCATCTTCTTTTCTCTTCCCAACTAGGAAAACCCGAACATGAGAAAACTGATATAGTAGGCTACTATAATATAAGAGTTGCAAAGCCTCTTGTAATCACTTTCCTTTATATTTTGGCCAAAAAGTTTTTTGTAATATGAAGCATCCTTTTGTTTTAAATCTTTTTATCTTGTTCATTTTCCGTCAAACTTCAAAGAAATATGTACAAAAGAGAGGGTTGGTGGTCACAGTGGAAACAACCTAGAGATGTCATTGAGTAAGCAGTTAGCATATCACTGGCGACACCTAGGTCATGCATGAAGTTCTATATGTTCCTAGAGAGTGCGCTGGTGACAGTACCATATCACTGGTGGCTCACTCATACGAACAAAGACAGTGTACTTCAATAGCTTAGATAAGAAAAGAGAGAACATAAACTAGGACAAGCATGTTGTCAAATCCAACAAAATGAAAGCATGAAACTTCCTTTAGCAATGACATTCTACAAAATGTGCTCAATTGTACGATATATAGGGGGTGGCATTTTAAGAAATTCCAACTCACAATGACTCTCCCAGTAACAAACAAATTCAAACCAACACACACTCACCGGCACCCCAGCCAGTCCTTACGCCACTTGTTTCTTGGAGATTGCCAATGAACTGCAACAACCGAAACCAATGGCAAGGATATAAGCTTGCGATGCAGGATAATAAACAATATAATTTTTTCAGAAAAAAATAATAATAAAGAGCTTTGAACTTACTGTGAACAGCACAAGGAATAGGAGAGAACTAATGAAACCCCCAAGAATGGTAAACAACTCTGTTGATGCTAACTTCCCTCTGTACATCTGTTGAAGTGATAGAATGACAGTGAACAGAAGAAAGGAATACAACATGGAACTACCCGGCCCCGCCATGAACTCCTAGTTGACCACAAGAAACAAAGTCAACAACAACAACAACAAGAAGATGCTCAGAAATGCTCAGTTGCAGAGAAATAAAAATAAAAATAAAAATAAAAAGCACAAATTAAATCAAAAGAAAAGGGAAAATGGGCTTGCACCCGTTTATCAATTTGTTATCTTCCACAGTACAATTTTGACAAAATGGGACTTAAACCGCACCAGATCTCAAATTCACCATCAAATTTACATAAAAATAGAGACCTTTTCATGCCCAAAACAATAAATTGAGTACAGATTTCTAATGTACGTCAGAATTTTTCGTGTAATCAACCAAAATGAAAATCAGCTGATCAATACCCTAAACAAATGCAACTGTAAAAGCAGGTTCATTTCAGCGCGAGCACATTTCTCAGCAACCAAACAGAAAACGTACCTCAGAATAGCAGTGTAGCTACCGATGAGCTCTTACTTACAGTCTTAGATCTCCCTTCCGTCACAACTCGATCAGCGAGTCGCGTTTCAGTGAGCCCAAGAGTTATATAATTGAGAAGGGCAATTTCGATAATACGGAAAACTCGAGGGACAAAAACGTCCAACAAAAAGAAAACCAAAAATTATAAGGGCAAAACGATGTCGTTTGGAGGCAATGGAGAGATGGAGTCGCTGGACTCGCCGGAGTGCCCGGTGTGTTTGCAGAACTACGACGGCGAATACACAATTCCGCGCGTACTCGCCTGCGGTCACTCGGCGTGCGAGGCCTGCCTGGTCAGGCTTCCCGAGCGCTACCCTGAGACTATTCGCTGCCCGGCGTGCACCCAACTCGTCAAGTACCCCCCACTGGGCCCCACCGCTCTGCCCAAGAACATCGACCTCCTCTCCTTCTCCCTCTCCCTAAACCCTAACCCTAATTCTCGCAGTTCCCAAAATCCCCAAAAACAATCCATCGATGGAGTTTGTAAATTCCTGCCTCGCATTTGGTCCGATGAGTTTTATGACACCTGGAAGGAGTGGGTGCTTCCGAACGACGCCCTATCGGTGGAAACAGAAGTTGGTGATGTAACAAGAGATGGGCTCTGTACTGTGTTGAAAGGAAGAACTGGTTCAGGTTCTGGTTTTGGTTTGGGGTCGGGTCGGGTTTGGTTTAGAGAGGATCAGAGTGTGAGCTTTGTTCAGGTTGGTTCATTACCGAATTTGGGTAGTTCTGGTTTTGAGTTTAGTTACATTGCAAGGGTTATGAAGTGTTTGAGTGGAATGAGAGAGGGAGAGAGAAACGAATTGGGTCTGTTGCTGAGAGCTTCTGTGAGACAGTGTAGGAAAGTAGGTAAAGTTTATGGCTTGTGGGGTAATTCGGAAGATGGGTTTTTGTATGTGGTGTGTGAGAGAAGAAATGGGAGTTTTTCGGAGAAGTTGAATGAGTTGAGAGATGGGGATGGTTTTGGTAAAGATGGGTTGTCTGCTTTTGCAATGATTGCTATGGAGGTGTGTGAGGCAGTGACTGGTTTGCACTCAGAGGGGTTTGCTTCTGGTTGTTTTGGTGTTTCATGCTTTGGTTTCGATGAATTTGGTCACGTTTTTGTGGATTTGAGTGAAGTCTTGGTGACAGGAAGGAAGGCTTGGAGAAGTGTTGTAGATTCTGTTTCTGGTACAATGGAAATTGATGCTGAACTATTGGGAGTGACCTTTGGGAAGTTATTGAAAGATGACGTTTTCATTAGCCCAGAGGTGTTGTTTGAGGCGTTGCAGAAAGAAGGCATTGCAGTAGAATGTGACAGCTCAAGATATCTGGTTGGATATGGCTCGGATGTTTGTTCATTAGCTTGTGTGTTGGTGAGGCTGCTTCTTGGAAAAGAATTTAGCGAAGAGATTGTGAAAACTAGTGAAAACCTTTTTTGTGATCATTCAACTTATGCAAGCTGGATTGAAAGAGTTAGTGCTTTGCTGGAGATTAAATTTGGTTCAGAATATGCATCTCTGAAAGAGAATCTTTGCAATTGTTTGAATTTCAATCCAGAAAGTCGACCACTTGTGATTGATGTGATGAAATGCATTAGGGAACTGATTATTAAACCTCAATGTGATATCACGACCAGTTTGGATGGGGCAGTTAAGGACGAGAGCGCAAATTGTTGCTTGATTCTTGGGGAACTGTGTCAGATACCCAAGCAAATATCAGAAACACAGAAAGAAAATGAGTTGCAAGGAAGTAAAATCAGTGGAGGAGCAGATTTTGATCAAGTTGGGGATGAGAGGACTAACAATGACGTTGTTGATGGCCTCACAGAGGGGAAGGTCAAATCTAAAGTTATGCAGGGCCATCGTGACTCCATTACAGGATTAGCTGTTGGAGGTAGAATTATTATGGAGTACTTTTTAGATTGCATATCTCATACTGTTTCCGTTAAGAAGTGTCCATGCTACTGGAGAGTCTGAAAACTGATATTGAAGTGCTCCCTTCTGGATGAAAGATACATAGATTTATACATTAGTCATGATGCTTGCACACTTTTTTTTATTCATCAAGTATCTGACATTTTATTTGTATTTTCACTTCTTTCTTGTAGGGGAACTTCTATTTAGCTCCTCATTTGATAAAACCATCCATTTATGGTCTTTACAGGTACAGACTCAAAACGGCTGTAATTTTTGGAGTTCGTCTTTTTGTGTGATTAAAGTGGAACCATCTTTATGCAGTTTCTTTGTGTGTGAGCATGTGTGTGTTCATTTACAAACATGAGTAGTTTCCTACTACCACATCTACCAAATAATTTATTCTAATGTATTAAACTTAGAAATGCAGCTTTTCTTTATTGATCTGCTTACTGAACGCTTGATATCTTAATGATTTGACAAGGTGGGGAATGTTGATTATTATGTTTGTATGCTTGCACATATGTGGTGAATATTTTCACACAACAAGCACTTTCTCCATGTTTCCCTTTCACTAAGTTCTGTCATGGCAAATTCCATGCAGGACTTCTCTCATGTACATACATTTAAAGGTCATGAGCATGCCATCAAGGCTCTCATTTATGTAGATGAAGAGCAACCTTTGTGCATCAGTGGTGACAGTGGAGGTGGCATATTTATCTGGGGCGCATGTACCCCTCTTGGGCAAGAGCCTTTAAAGATATTGTATGAGGAGAAAGATTGGCGCTTTAGTGGTATTCATGCCTTGGCCTCCAGAAATGGATATGTTTATACAGGCAGCGGAGATAGAACAGTAAAAGCATGGTCAGTACGGGTGAGGGGTTTGCATTAATAAAAATTTCTGTTATTTTCTATTTATATGCATCTTTTCAGATTTTAAGTGGAAAAAAAAAAACCTTTTTCTCCTTTGAAAAATTTCAGGATGGCACCCTGTCATGCACCATGTCTGGTCATAGGTCAGTAGTTTCAACACTTGCAGTTTGTGATGGTGTTCTTTATAGCGGAAGTTGGGATGGAACCATCCGATTATGGAGTCTTAGCGATCACAGTCCTTTGACAGTACTAGAGGAAGACACATCTGGAACTGTGACCTCAGTCTTATCTCTTGCTGTTGACAGGCATTTGCTTATAGCAACCCATGAAAATGGATGTGTAAAGGTTGCCCTTAATCCTCACTGCAACATCTTCCTTTTCTTCTCAAGATAATAATCATCATTTCATGATTAAATTTTCCTTAAATAGGCCTTTGTTTTTTGGGTTTCTTCAGGTCTGGAGGAATGATGTGTTCATGAAATCCATTAAAATGCACAATGGTGCAGTATTTGCTAGTGGCATGGAAGGAAAATGGCTTTTCACAGGAGGCTGGGATAAAACTGTAAATATACAGGTACATGTGCAAAATATGGTTTCATCCTATTCTTTTTTATTTATTTTTAATTTCTGATATTTTTATCAGATGAAGCTGGTTTGCTATGTCATCACACTTAAGAATTCTTACAAATTCATTTGCATGTCACAGGAATTGTCTGGTGATGAGATTCAAATAGATTACAGGCCCGTTGGATTTATCCCCTGTGATTCTGTCATAACAACTTTGTTAAGCTGGCAAGGAAAGCTTTTTGTTGGACATGCTAATAGGAACATCATGGTATGCTCTCTTCTTTTAACTTCTTTTTAGGTGATGAGTATCTTGTCTTCTGTTTACCATGATAAAATTCTTTTTCTTTTTTAGGTAAAACCATGATAAAATTCTGGATCACATAATTTGATTGCTGCAGGTGTTTTACTATGGCAAAATGACCAACCGTTAGGCAATGCTGTTATGGTGTATTTGTTTTCAACTGTTGATTAAGCTTAGCTGATGCTGAGTGGTTGATTCGGGAGATCTACCACCGGTCTGTGCATTGTCGATAGATTGAACTTTGAATCCCCTGTCGAAGAGTGTTATAGACTGCATTATGCTGCTGCTGGCATGTTTGCACATTGTGCCAGCAACGTACCAGTCCTGCAGATAAACAATTTCGAGCAAAAACAAGCATATCTTTTTCTTTCAAAATGTTGTTCATGTAAATACAAATTTCACGACGGAGAAACATGTTATACAAAAGATTGTGTATTTTCTGATAGGAAGAGACGATGTTTGTACGTAGTAATACAAAGTCACAATATGATGCGTGTGTTAGCCTAAAATGTTGTTCAGCACCTTCTACGCATATCAATACACAGATTGGCGCAGGAACATACATGAGGTCATCATATATGAAAGATAAAATATCATAATTCATTAAAAAAATTTAAAAAAACCTTAAATTTTTTAAGTAAATATATATATTTTTTGTTTAAATTTTTTTATTTTGGCGCAGGAACATACATGAGGTCATCATATATGAAAGATAAAATATCATAATTCATTAAAAAAATTTAAAAAAACCTTAAATTTTTTAAGTAAATATATATATTTTTTGTTTAAATTTTTTCATTTTAGAATTAAATAAGAGAAAATAGATCTAGTTTTCTTTCATGAAAATAAGACTCATGTTCTTATTTTAATTTTTTAAATATGAAAAAAAATGATAATTTACTATATTATTCTAATTTATTGAATAGTTTTATATCTTAATATTTTCATTAACAAAGAGCATTTTGTGAAATTTTGAATATTTCACCATTCTCCTCCACTTTTTCCATTTAAGATATCATTTAACTTAAATAAATAAATAATAATTTCATTTCAGTGATTTCACCATTTGATTTGAGCAGGGGGGAATTAACGGACTAAACGGTACACTCCAGTTCTTCTCTCTCACTCTTGCTGCCTGGAAATCGTACTGACCTTAGTAGCTGAATAGAGAGTTCCCGCTTTCTACTTGGCTTCACTTTGACAACCCAGAGCTTGATATGATATGGCAACCCTTCCTTGTCTCCAAAGCCCCTGTTTTCTGTCCCTGAAACCACTCCCACAACGCTCCACCCTTGTCTTCACCAACCACCCCCACTCCGTTTCTTCATTTCATACTTCGTCTCGGCCTCTACAGCGTCGTCTCAGGCTCACTCGCACCCCCATTTCTGCGTCTCTTAAGGTAAGTTTTCATCTTCCAAGCATAGTTTTCGCT